TCTCTCTCACACACACACACACACACACACACACTCATTCTCTCTCACACACACACACACACACACACACACTCATTCTCTCTCACACACACACACACACACACACACACTCATTCACTCTCACACACACACACACACACACACACACACGTATATGTTGACTATTATTTGATTTATTAACACAAATAGTTCTGATTTCCTTAATATTGTTTTGAGTTATTTAAAAATCTAAATGATTGATGATTTTGAAAACGTCTTTCAATCATTAAGCAATTTATATGTATTTATATACACACACACACACACACACACACACACACACACATACATATATACATCGCTCGTGTTTATGTCTGCTCATGAATATCAGTCTCAGAACATCTGTTTTCAAAAGTGGGAATCCCTGTGACGTCACGCCGCTCGTGGAGCGTTCCGCAGGCGGAGGAATCTCCTCACTCACTGATGAGCCGCGTCACGCCACGCGCTCCGGGATCGGTGTTCGTCCGCGGAAGTAGTGCGCACGCAGCGGTCAGCGGCATCGCGCGCTCCGTTCAGTCAGAAGCGTGTGGAGCTCGAGTCCGCGACCCACGGGCTCAGGCATGCGCGGACCACCAGAGTAAATGGCGTCTTTTAAAACGGATTTATTCCAGCGTCTGCTGTTTCTTGCAGTGTTTCTATCAATCTCGGGTAAGAGCGTTTATCTCATATTTGCACGAACAGGAATGAGTTATGAATGAACCTCAGGATGTTTCGTGATTTAAATGACACACACACACACACACACACACACACACACATATATATATATACATCGCTCGTGTTTATGTCTGCTCATGAATATCAGTCTCTGAACATCTGTTTTCAAAAGTGGGAATCCCTGTGACGTCACGCCGCTCGTGGAGCGTTCCGCAGGCGGAGGAATCTCCTCACTCACTGATGAGCCGCGTCACGCCACGCGCTCCGGGATCGGTGTTCGTCCGCGGAAGTAGTGCGCACGCAGCGGTCAGCGGCATCGCGCGCTCCGTTCAGTCAGAAGCGTGTGGAGCTCGAGTCCGCGACCCACGGGCTCAGGCATGCGCGGACCACCAGAGTAAATGGCGTCTTTTAAAACGGATTTATTCCAGCGTCTGCTGTTTCTTGCAGTGTTTCTATCAATCTCGGGTAAGAGCGTTTATCTCATATTTGCACGAACAGGAATGAGTTATGAATGAACCTCAGGATGTTTCGTGACTTAAATGTGCAGGATGAGGGATTTCATGCACTGAAACCTAAGAATTATATATAAAAGACCATTAAATGTATATTTAATTACACTTTTTTCATAAATATGTGATTGCATACAACTGAATTAATTGTCAGAGCGTTAAATACATATAGAAATCCACTGACTGATTCACTCACGCGCACGGAACACACACTAACAAACTTCAAAGCAGCGTCGGGAATTATGCAAATGTTCAATGTTAAGAGATTAAAATGATTCTTACATCACAATGTCTTATGACACATTCTGATTTTCTTGAAGTGTCTTTAAATTTCATTTCACAAACATTCTTGTGTTTCTATCAATCTCGGGTAAGAGCGTTTATCTCATATTTGCACGAACAGGAATGAGTTATGAATGAACCTCAGGATGTTTCGTGATTTAAATGTGCAGGATGAGGGATTTCATGCACTGAAACCTAAGAATTATATATGAAAGACCATTAAATGTATATTTAATTACACTTTTTTCATAAATATGTGATTGCATACAACTGAATTAATTGTCAGAGCGTTAAATACATATAGAAATCCACTGACTGATTCACTCACGCGCACGGAACACAATGTAACAAACTTCAAAGCAGCGTCGGGAATTATGCAAATGTTCAATGTTAAGAGATTAAAATGATTCTTACATCACAATGTCTTATGACACATTCTGATTTTCTTGAAGTGTCTTTAAATTTCATTTCACAAACATTCTTGCATTATATTATGCGTAACTGCTTCTTGCATAATCAAATAGTTGGTAATATCATGAAGCTTCATGCATATTCAGAGGTGAATGTTTATGAACATCAAATAAGTGAATCATAATCTGAAATATAGCTATTTAATATAAAGAAAGCTATTTGAGCTATCACTTTGATATTAACAAGCTTTCTTGCACAGATCAGATTAGATTATTAGTGAATCGTTACATCATAAAGCTTTTTTCATATTTATGCATTTTCATATCTGACTTAATACAATATGACTGCCGATATATTAAACGTTTATAATAGTCGAAACATTTTATATTGTGAAAATGACACCAAAGTGCCAATATTTTTTACTCTTCTGCATTCTTCTCTTTATTTCTCGTTGTGCACAAAAATAACATTTCAAGCTACTTTATAACTTATGAAGAGCGATGCATCTCATAAAAATGCTAAAATGTTCCCAAGTCATAAATGCATAACATTATATTCTTGAAATGCTCTTTTTGAATCCTTTAATAAAGTGTTTTTATTTCCATTTTTATTCTCCTGCTTGTCCTGCTCTCATAGCAGCTCTAGTCACGGTGGGCTGCTAAATGTCTAGTGAATTTCATGCTGGGAATAAATTACAGCTCTTCTTTAGACGAGGATCGAGTCTCTTCTGACTTCATGAGCCATGAATAAGGGGATTACGGTCGGATATGATTACTGCATCTCAGAGTCTCACTCAGTGGCAACAGTTTGACTCGCTTTCTTCTCTCTGTCTCTGCAGGTGTGATGAGTTTTAGTGAGTTGTTTTTTATAAAGGAGCCCCATGATGTGACGGCGATGAGGAGGGACGCTGTGATTTTGGACTGTCAGGCCCACGGCGAGGCTCCCATCGGCATCCGGTGGCTGAAGAACGCAGCGGCGCTCACAGAGTCGGAGCGCATTTACCTGCTCACCAACGGCTCTCTGTTCATCTCAGAGGTGGAATGCCGTAAGGACAAATCAGATGAAGGGTTCTACCAGTGCCTTGCCCAGAACAAATATGGATCTATTCTCAGCCAGAGAGCCCGCTTGACTATCGCAGGTAATTGCATTGGTGTTTTTGCCCTGATATGTGTCAGTGTTGCTCAGATGTCTTTTGAGATTAAAGGAATAGTTCACCCAAAAATGGGTCAATGGCTCAGGACATCCAAAATGTAGATGAGTTTGTTTCTTCATCAGATTTGGAGAAATGTAGCATTGCATCACTTGCTATGCAATGGATGCTCTGCAGTGAATGGGTGCCGTCAGAATGAGAGTCCAAACAGCTGATAAAAACATCACAATAATCCACAAGTAATCGACACCACTCCAGTCCAGCAGTTAATGTCTTGAGAAGCCAAAAGCTGAAACAAATACATCATTATGATGTTTTTAACTTCAAACCGTCACTTCTGGCTAAAAAACGAGTCCTCTGTCCATAATAACGCTTCCTCCAGTGATAAAGCAGTCTGGTCTGAATCAGGAGAGACATCTGCACAGATCAAGCCAAAACAGCTCTAAACAAATATGTGGCTGGATTTTGATGTGAGAGACAACAGGAGAAGGACTTTTTCACTGGAGGACGCGTTATTATGGATAGAGGACTCGTTTTTTAGCCAGAAGTGACGGTTTGAAGTTAAAAACATATTAATGATAGACTCATTTGTTACAAACAGCAGCTTTTGGCTTCACAAGACATTAACTGATGGACTGGAGTGCTGTGGATTACTTGTGGATTATTGTGATGTTTTTATCAGCTGTTTGGACTCTCATTCTGACGGCACCCATTCACTGCAGAGCATCCATTGGTGAGCAAGTGAAGTAATGCTGATGTCTCCAAATCTGATGAAGAAACAAACTCATCTACACCTTGGATGACCTGAGTGTGAGGACATTATCAGCAAATTTTCTTTTCTGGCTGCACTAGTGCTTTAAATCGACTACAGCTCTATCAACCTAAACTAACATCAGAGATCACGTTAGGTTCAGCAACAAGCCCTTTTCTTATCAAGAGCCACTCGGAACATAGATTTTTCCTATGGCATCAGCTCTAACTGGACCTTTATTTTTAAGATTATGTGTGTGTTTATGCATTTTCTGGAATCTGGCTCTAAAGAATTCCTGACTCATTCATGGACACACAGAGGAAGTGCGGTGTGATGGATGAGGCTCATTATTTACTGTGCCGTCAGAGTCTGTCAGCAGAGTTACAGCAGAGAAATCAGCACTAATGAGTGTCGACAGAAAGGTCAAGATGACAGACAGACAGACAGACAGACAGACAGACTAATGTTCAAAAGTTTGGGGTTGGTAAGATTTTTTAATGTTTTTGAAAGAAGTCTCTTCTGCTCACCGAGGCTGCATAATGTGAAATATTATTACAATTTAAAATAACTGTTTTCTGTGTGAATATATTTTAAAATGAAATTTATTTCTGTGATCAAAGCTGAATTTCCAGCATCATTACTCTAGTCTTCAGTGTCACATGATCTTCAGAAATCATTCTAATATGCTGATTTGCTGCTCACGAAACATTTCTGATTATTATCAATGTTGAAAACAGTTGTGCTGCCCAATATTTTTGTGGAAACCGTGATATATTTGATTTCTTTGATGAATAGAAAGTTCAAAAGGACAGAATTTATTTGAAATAGAAATCTTTTGTAACATTATAAATGTCTTTGCTGTCACTTTTGATTCATTTAATGCATCCTTGCTAAAAAAAATGTATGCTTTAAAACATGACATATTCAAGCCTTATTTTTGAGAAGTCTTTTTCTATTCCATGTTTCAAAAGCATTAAACAGTCATTTTTTTTCTACAGTAAAATGTTTTTTTTAGTTAAAGCATGTCAAATTCTTGATCAAAGTGTAATCAGAATGAGATTAGTCTAATAAAAAACAGGCTAAACTATCAGTCATCAGATGGGTTATTGGCGATAATCTGCTCAAATGATTGGTTAATGTGTGATACAGATAGCTGGAGGATAGATGTGTGTGTTAGTGTGTGTCAGTCCTGCGATCGAGGCCTCGCGGCTGTGTGAGAATGTGTCCATTGGTCTGTAAATGAAGCCCGGCAGGTTTGAAAAGCTCAGCTTGCGGAGGACACTAGTGCCCCGGTGTTAAAGAGCACATGACCCCTATTCACAGCGCTCTGCCTTTATATCAGCATCTCCTGACCACAGCCATTGTTCCTGCTCTCCTGTGTGTGTGTGTGTGTGTGTGTGTGTGTGTGTGAGTGTGTGTGTGTGTGTGTGTTTGACAGGGGCTTTTAAAGGTCCTCTCCTGAGGCTGTGTGTCGTGCTGCGCTGCTTCAGGACAAAAGCGTGTGTTTCTTCTGCTCTCGCTGCATTCTCTCATTTCGAGCAAAACTTGAGCTCTAGGCAAATGTTTGCACAGGAAGTGACTGTTCTAGAGGAGTTTTCACTAGGCTGAGTTGTTATAGTTAACTAAAACTATAAAACATTTTCAGCGTTTGAAATAAAGATTGTTCATCCCCAAGCTTTTCACTTTGTCAGATTTATGGTACTTTTAGGTCGTGATTGATCTGTTTCAGTCACCAACATGATCAAAAGATCTCAAAGGTGCTCAGATTTTTTTTTGTGTGTTTTTAATATATTTCACTTTTTACTTTTATACTTTTTATATATAATATATATTATTATTTTAATATTGTATTTTATATGTATACATATATGTATATATATATGCTACATTTGAATAATTTTTAATATGAATTCAGATATTTCTCATTAAATTAGGATTTTTTATGCAGTAAATAGTAAAAAGTTATTTTATTTTTAAATGTTTTTTTTATATATATATATAATAATTTATTATGCTGATTAATTTGCATTCAATTTAACAAATAACTATTAAATGCATAATAATTTTTTTTTGGGCTGTAGCTCCCAGCTTTCTTACACAAACACACACTCACATAAGAGTTGAAGTCCTCTGCTCCTGAATGGCTGATTTAGTGATTTTATTGCAGTGAGTTGAGCTGGTGGTCTCCATGTGATTGCTTTCTGCTCCGCTAGTTTGCTAAATTCGTGAAAAGCTTTTTTTCTCTCCGTCTCCTTTTGTCCCATCTGCCCCCAACTGCCCCGGCCAAAAAAAGCAGATTTCTTTGCGGGGCATTTGTTTGACCAGATCGAGCTGGTCAGGACAGCTGGTGCTTTGCACCAATGGAAAGGCAATTATGCAAACGAGAGAGAAGTATGCAGGGTTTTAGTAAAGTTTGATAACAGCGTAGTTTGTCTTGTTTCGGATGAGAAGTGAGAGTCCAGAGGTTGAGTGTGATTTTAGCACCATTATTTGGTGATGGAGGTGACACACTTTCTTTTCATCATGCTTGTGTTTTTGACACCACGTGTTGGCAGATGCTGTGAACAGGTTTGTGTGTGTGTGTGTGTGTGTGAGATTGATGGTTCCACGTGTTTAGACCTTTTGCCCTACTCACCTCTACTCATATATCAGTCACTATCACACATGTTTACTTAGCTATCTAAATGAGGACATACCTTCATCTATTGTCTTATATAAAACTGATTAGATGAACACAATTAACCCAAACACTACCACTAAAAGAAAACGATTTCCTTTTTTTAGAAAGAGAGAGAGAGAGAAAAAAAAATGTGTATATATATATATATGTATGTATATGTATATAATTTATTTATGTATTTATTAATTTTTTTTATAAATTTAAAAATGTTACTTTAAATGTAATAGATTTATAAATTATATATATATACAGTGGGTACGGAAAGTATTCAGACCCCCTTAAATTTTTCACTCTT